CTGGGAGGTGGAGTCCACCCCAAGGATACACTGTCCAGGTGGTGGAGCCCACCCCAAGGTGACATGGCCTGGGTGACAGAGAACACCCCAAGATGCCATGAGGTCATGGTGATGGAGGCCACCCTGAGGTGTCACATCCCAGGCTGAGGCAGGATGAGGAGTCCAGGGGCTGTGTGTGCCAGCTGCACAGTGCCCTCTGCACTTGCTGCAGGAGGTTGCCAGCATGACAGGGCTTTCCTTGACACCTCGCCCACCTTGAAGGTGGTGATGGCACGGCCCACTCAAATCCATGATGGATCACACCCCTGGCAAGGGCTCCCCAGATTCGCCAGTGGCCATGGGGACTCACCACGGCCACCCAGCCTGGAAGGGATGGCCAAGCCCTACCTGAGGTGTGATTGCAGGGAGATGGAGACCTCTTCCCAGGTAGGAGAAGGGATGGGACAGCGTGTGAGTGCCCTCATCCTGAGCCATCGCCCAGCCTTGTGGTGGCCCTGTCTGGGGCTCCCGGCCGCTCCAGGGAGTTTTCCCAGCCATGGGCCATTTTGGCCAGGGCTGCATAAGCACAGGCACAGAGCCCTTCCCACCACCCAGGCTTTAGGAGCAGTGACAGGGTCCCAATGGCCCCAGATGTCACCAAACCCTCTGCCCTGCAGCCCTGGCAGTGTGTCCCTGGTGCTGTGGGGCATGGCAGAGGGGACAGTGCCTCGGCTGGGGAGCCAGGGGACTCTGCACCCCCACAGCCAGCCATGGGGACCCTTGAGGACCCTCAGAGACCCTTAGAGACCCAGATGTTTCCCCCAGCTGGTGGCATCACAGCTAGAGGGGAGATCCAGCATTGCACAGCCCCATATGTCCCCATCCTCCCTCCTGGAGGGACACCATGGCCAGAAACCCAGCTGGGGCCTGGCACACTGCCTCTGCAACCCCTCTGCCATGTGGGGTGGTGACCCTCTTCTTCCATGCTCAGGCAATATCCACAAAAAACAGCAGCTTTACCCCAGAAACACCCCCCCACCTTCAGGCTGAGATGGAGGTTGGGGTGGTTAACCTGGCCGTGCCCCCACGCGTTGAAGGAGCCACCCCAAACCCTACTGCACCCACCCACGATGCATCAGTGAAGCCCCTAGTTCCCCGCAGGGCTCCTCCTGCCTTCTCCTCACCAAAGGGGAGTTCAATGGGAAGGCAAGACCCAAAAAATAGGAAAACACCCACCCTCTGAGCCACCTCCTGCACCCCAAAAGAGCCTGGGTCCGAGAGCCTGGCTTGGCACCAAAGGAAAAGCAAAACTCACGGTGCAAACCCCACCGGTCCCCATGGCGTAGACCCACAGGCAGATGTCCCACAGCTTGTATCTTTTCCCCAAACCTACAGGACTGGGGTGAAACATGGGACCTTCCAATCAGCTGGTGCTGATGGTGAGGACTTAGGGGGGCTCCAGGCACCCCTCAATGCCCCTGAGACTCCTCTGGGATGGGGGATCCCGGCGCTGGGCTGGGCAGGGTGCTGGTGGGTGCCCAATGCCATGCCTGGCCCCATGGCACCACCATGCCAGCCTCAGCACAACCAAGAGCCGGGCTGGTGGTCACCCACCATGGTGATGTCCCACCAGCCCAGTTTGAGGTGGCACCAGCCATGCCCGTAGAGGACCTTTCTACCCCTCCTGTCCCCAGACCCGACCTGCTGCCCCAAGGAGGTCACCCCCCCACCGGTGGGGTACGTCGCTGGCCCCAAAACCCGTTTATCCGCAAGAATGGCCCAAGATGCCCTTAAAAGGCCAAAACTCGGCGGGGCCGGGGGTGCCGGGTGTGCTGGAAGGCGGCAGCTGCGGGTGCCCGTGCGCGGGGCCGCGGCGGCGCAGGGCAAGGTTGGGGGGGGCGGTGGTGTCCACCTCCAGTGATGGGGCTGGGGGTGGGGGTGGGGTGGTGGTGGCCGGTGGCCCAGGGGGGGTGGCTGCAGGGAGCAGAGTGTCCCCTTACACGGCTGTTTCCATACTTAGCCACCCCCCTCCCAGCAGCGCGGCCGCGGAGCCCGGCCAGGCAGAGAACCAGCCCAAATTAACTCAAGGGCAAGCAAGGGTACCGGCAATGCCACCCCACCGCGTGGCCCCCCAACGACGCCCGGCCGGGGATGAGGGTGCTAAACGGCGACCAGATGGGCCAGGAAAGGGGGTCCGGGGTCACCCAAAGTGACCCAAAGTGCTATCCTGCCTGGCAGGTCCTTGGGGGGGTGAAAGACCCCCAAAGCAAGCAGCCCACCCCATCCTGCTCCGACTACAGGGTGCCCCAGCAGCCCCCAACAAGTCCTCACAGCCCGAAAACAAGCCACCTCAGCACCCATGGGTGGCACTGAACCCCCAGGACGTTGGTGACAGCACAACCCCTGGCTCCAGAGGAGGGACCCCAGCTCCAGCCCCTCCTGGCCGTGGCCCCCCACCATGTTTCCCTGCACATTTTGGGGTGACTCTGCAGCCCCGGCAGAGCCACTGGGGAGCTGGGACCTGCCACCCTGTCCTGCTCCTGGCACCCACCCAGCATTGGGGTGCAGCCTGCTGCCCACCAGGCACCCCAGAGCGCACCGGCACCCGCAGCCCCATGGGCACCCACAGCTCCACGGGTGCCTGCAACCCTGCAGGGCACCCACAGCCCCAATAAACACCCACAGCCCCAATAAACACCCACAGCCCCACAGTACCTTCAGCCCCACAGGCACCCAAAGCCCATAGGCACCCATGGCCCCCCACGGGCACCCCCAGCCCCATAGACACGTACTACCCCACAAGCACCCACAGCCCCACAGGGACCTTCAGTCCCCTTGAGGACTCACAGCCCCTCCAGGCACCCAAAGCCCCACGGGGACACTGCAACCCCATGGGGACCCACAGCTCCATGGGGACCCACAGCCCCATGGAGACCCAGCAACCACATGGGGACTTACAACTCCATGGGGACCCACAGCCCCATGGAGACCCTGCAACCCCATGGAGACCCACAGCCCCATGGGGACCCTGCCGCCCTGTGAGCACCCACAGCCCCATGGGGACCCACAGCCCTGTGGGCACCCACAGCCCCGGAGGCACCCGCAGCCCCACGGGACCCCGCAGACCCACGGGCACCCACAGCCCCGCAGCCACTCACAGCCCCATGGGCACGCATAGCCCCATAGAGACCCATAGCCCCATGGAGCCCCCGTAACCCCCATGGGGTTGGCCGTACCTGCAGTGCTGAGGAGCAGGAGCGAGGCCACGCAGCAGCAGAGCAGGTTGAGGCCCTTCATGGTGGCTGCCAGGAGCTCCCTGCCGCTCGCTGCCCCTATTTATACGGCGGCGCGGGCGCGGGGCAGGGCAGGCAGCTGCCGGCAGGGCCAGCACAGATGCTGCCGCCACCGCTCGTCCTGTCCCAGGGGGCCCTGGGGATGGGGACAGGGACGGGGACAGGGCACGGTGGCAGTGCTGCAGCACTGGGGAAGGTTGGTGTCAGGGATGCGGTGGCACGGGACACCTCCTGGCATGGAGTCCCTGGGATGGCACTGCCCGTGCGGGGTCACCGTCACGGCATCCCGCTGGCGTGGGGTAGGGGATCTCCTCGGGCTGCCCAAAGCTCCTGCAGCCCCTTTTGTGGCTGGAGCAGGGGTTTATGGAGGGGGAGAGGCAAGAATCGTGGCACTGCGGCGTCCCCCATCTGTCCCCTAAGGTGGGTGTCCCCAGGGAACCTGGCCCTAGGCTGGCTTAGGACCTCCTCTGGCCACCACAGGTCCCCAACTCCAGGTGATGCCACGCACCCCATAGGGAAGGTGAGATGTTCCCTCCACCCGGGGGGTGTCCCCGTTGCCACCAGCACCACGCTGGCAGCACAGGGTCACCAGCTCCTGTCACCCTCACTCGTAGGGGACAGCCACCCCGTGCTGCCCCCAAAGCCTTGCCACGGCAGAGTGGCCCCATCACTGAAGGAGCCACTTTGGGTGAGGGGGAAGGGGGGGCATGACCCACCATTCTCTTGGAAGGAGCCAAACTGGGAGGAAAACAACAGCCCCCCCACCCAAAAATGTGTCTCCTGCAAGTGTGGGAGCAGAGGGTGGGATGGGGGTGGCGGGGAGGGGACAATGGCACAGGAGCCAGCCCTTGGCCGGGCACCACAGAGGGTCTTGGTGTGGAGGGGAGTGGGAGAGACCCACGGCCGTGGGGGGGGATGCTGAAGGGTGGGTGCCCCATGGGAAAAGATGGGTATTTCCCCCAAAAAGCCATGGAGAGGTGGGTGCCCCCACCCCACCAGACCCGTGCAACTAATCAGCAGCCTCATGGAGAGCTGTGCAGAGAGCACAGAGACACCCCCATCCTGGGACACCACGAGCCCCATCCCCAGGGCAGGGGGACACAAAGCCTGACCCCAGACCCCCCACAGCCACAGTACCTTCAGCCCCACAGGCACCCAAAGCCCATAGGCACCCATGGCCCCCCACGGGCACCCCCAGCCCCATAGACACGTACTACCCCACAAGCACCCACAGCCCCACAGGGACCTTCAGTCCCCTTGAGGACTCACAGCCCCTCCAGGCACCCAAAGCCCCACGGGGACACTGCAACCCCATGGGGACCCACAGCTCCATGGGGACCCACAGCCCCATGGAGACCCAGCAACCACATGGGGACCTACAACTCCATGGGGACCCACAGCCCCATGGAGACCCTGCAACCCCATGGAGACCCACAGCCCCATGGGGACCCTGCCGCCCTGTGAGCACCCACAGCCCCATGGGGACCCACAGCCCTGTGGGCACCCACAGCCCCGGAGGCACCCGCAGCCCCACAGGGACCCCGCAGACCCACGGGCACCCGCAGCCACTCACAGCCCCATGGGCACGCATAGCCCCATAGAGAGGGACCCCGCAGACCCACGGGCACCCACAGCCCCGCAGCCACTCACAGCCCCATGGGCACGCATAGCCCCATAGAGACCCATAGCCCCATGGAGCCCCCGTAACCCCCATGGGGTTGGCCGTACCTGCGGTGCTGAGGAGCAGGAGCGAGGCCACGCAGCAGCAGAGCAGGTTGAGGCCCTTCATGGTGGCTGCCAGGAGCTCCCTGCCGCTCGCTGCCCCTATTTATACGGCGGCGCGGGCGCGGGGCAGGGCAGGCAGCTGCCGGCAGGGCCAGCACAGATGCTGCCGCCACCGCTCGTCCTCTCCCAGGGGGCCCTGGGGATGGGGACAGGGACGGGGACAGGGCACGGTGGCAGTGCTGCAGCACTGGGGAAGGTTGGTGTCAGGGATGCGGTGGCACGGGACACCTCCTGGCGTGGAGTCCCTGGGATGGCACTGCCCGTGCGGGGTCACCGTCACGGCATCCCGCTGGCGTGGGGTAGGGGATCTCCTTGGGCTGCCCAAAGCTCCTGCAGCCCCTTTTGTGGCTGGAGCAGGGGTTTATGGAGGGGGAGAGGCAAGAATCGTGGCACTGCGGCGTCCCCCATCTGTCCCCTAAGGTGGGTGTCCCCAGGGAACCTGGCCCTAGGCTGGCTTAGGACCTTTGTGGCTGGAGCAGGGGTTTATGGAGGGGGAGAGGCAAGAATCGTGGCACTGCGGCGTCCCCCATCTGTCCCCTAAGGTGGGTGTCCCCAGGGAACCTGGCCCTAGGCTGGCTTAGGACCTCCTCTGGCCACCACAGGTCCCCAACTCCAGGTGATGCCACGCACCCCATAGGGAAGGTGAGATGTTCCCTCCACCCGGGGGGTGTCCCCGTTGCCACCAGCACCACGCTGGCAGCACAGGGTCACCAGCTCCTGTCACCCTCACTCGTAGGGGACAGCCACCCCATGCTGCCCCCAAAGCCCTGCCACGGCAGAGTGGCCCCATCACTGAAGGAGCCACTTTGGGTGAGGGGGAAGGGGGGGCATGACCCACCATTCTCTTGGAAGGAGCCAAACTGGGAGGAAAACAACAGCCCCCCCACCCAAAAATGTGTCTCCTGCAAGTGTGGGAGCAGAGGCTGGGATGGGGGTGGCGGGGAGGGGACAATGGCACAGGAGCCAGCCCTTGGCCGGGCACCACAGAGGGTCTTGGTGTGGAGGGGAGTGGGAGAGACCCACGGCCGTGGGGGGGGATGCTGAAGGGTGGGTGCCCCATGGGAAAAGATGGGTATTTCCCCCAAAAAGCCATGGAGAGGTGGGTGCCCCCACCCCACCAGACCCGTGCAACTAATCAGCAGCCTCATGGAGAGCTGTGCAGAGAGCACAGAGACACCCCCATCCTGGGACACCACGAGCCCCATCCCCAGGGCAGGGGGACACAAAGCCTGACCCCAGACCCCCC